ATCATATTTACCCTACACAGAATGATATAAATGTGTTAAAACCAAAAAATGTGAACTCACTGCTGTTGAGTCGATTCCAATTCATAGAGAAGCAGACTGCCACATCTTTCTTCTGTGGAGCAGCTGGTGGGTTTGAACCACTGACCTTTTGGTCAGCAGCCAAATGCCTTAACCATTACACCACCAGAGCTCCTTATTAATGTGTTACTACATAGTAATTTCAGCATCCCATACAAATAGGAGTCGTTCTAGAGCCTGTTCAGTGTAATCTGGCACAGCTTGCAGCCACCTCTGCCCTTTAGATTTCTTCATTTTCTAATGTGACACACCAGGAAGGTCTGTCTGATATTTCCTTACACTCTGGGAATGGGTCCTTGGTTTAAAATTTCCAAGGTACTTTCAGTATAATGTAAGAACTTTAAATTATCATTTCCATTTGTAAAATTCATATCTTGTAATAGCTTGTAATCTGGAAAATGCTAAAAACTAAGACTGCATCTGGGACTAATTCAACCCAACTTTTTTGAATGACTGTTGGGTATCAAACACATCCTCTAATTTGGGAGACAGCCTTGCAAACAGAGGAAGTATAACGCTAGATACAAGGGCCGTAATACCAGTTTGTGAGAATAAAGGATAAACCAAGAAAGTCTGAATTGGTTGGTTAGGAAAGGAGTTGGAGGAGAGGGGAGGATTAAGCTGGATTTTCAAGGATAGGTAGGAGATTGGTAGAGGGAAGATGGTTGAGAAGGCAAACATGGGTGGAGGAAACTGCATGTGTTAAGTCTGGAATCTTGTTCAGTAAACATTGAGATAATTTGCACAGTGTGATTGATTATAAGAGTGTGGTTTATGGCTGGGGTTTGTGTGTTGCAGAAAATGGGACACCTGTAGGATGAGTTTGTGGAGTCACAGGGAGCAAATTTGTGTACCATGGAAAGACATTTTATCTAAATTGCCTAAGATTGTGAAGCAGTAAAGTGATGTGGCAGATTTCAGAGGCCAATTTTGTTTACAGCCTGGGGATTATAGTGAAGGGAATGGGTTGGGGGAGGGAGGCAAAACTAGAATCAAGGAGAGCATTTGTTAGACTTTTGCAAACCTAAGTAAGAAATTATAAAATTATCGAATTGTTTCTTAAAGTTTGTGCCTGGAAGAGATGTACTTCACTTCTGCATTTATTTAGTAGAACCCAAAGCAAGTCATACAGCCAAAGATAACTTAAACGAGGTTGTTTGCAAAGACAAAGGAATTGGAATATTTGGAATTGGAATATTTGGAATATTTGGAATATTTGGGAACAAGCTAATGACTACATAACCTTGCTGGGTCCTTCCCTTCCACACACAAATATTTTCAAATCTCTTTGATAACCAAACAAGTATATGCACAAATAAAAATCCCTTAATTTTCTTTGTTAGAATTCTCCACTTCCTGTTTCTAACTCACTGCTTAATGCTCAGCATACTGCAATCTTAATAAGGTCCTGAAGTGATATTTTTAAATATTAAGTTTGAAATGTAATGCTGTACTTGATTTTTCCATCTGGATGTTTCAAACAAATCTCAGAATGAACATATTGAGAATGTAATTAATTGTTAATTAGTAATTATTTTCAGCCTGTATTAATTAAAATACTATTTACTACATTCCACCACCACATCCCTGTGATATACATGGTGAATAAAAGAAATAAAATAATTTTTAAATAATCCCTAACTGCCTGGGTCTTTTATTCTAGAGTGAGGCAATAGATAAGAAACAATGAAATGTAATAAATGTGTTATTATTATATGCTAGAACATTATAGTTGTTACGGCAAAATGGAGATAGTGAACAGGGTAAGGACAATGATAAGTACAATGTGGGATATTGAGAAGGTGATATTTCTCCCTCTTTATTTATCTCAGTGAATGACACAATCATCCCCCAGTCACCTTGGGGGGGGGGAACCTAGCGATTATCATAAAAAAATTATATCATCTGTCACTCCTCGATTTGTAATGTCTATGGAAGATTCCACTTATTTTCATGGTGACTGGCAGCTTTTATGCACATTCTCTTTTTATTTTTTTTTTCCCTCTTGAATTTTGGTCTTTGCCTCTAGTGACCTCACTGTTTTTCTATTTCTACATTGCTATCGTGATGATTAGGTCACCTGCTTCCTTGAATACTTTTAATGAATCCTACTACCTTTTGAATAAAACTGAAACATGATCAATAAGTTTGGTGATAACCTGACCTTCTACCTGTTTGTTATAATTCCCAATAGCGCACTGTCCACTAGCTAAACTAAGATGAGTACCATTCTGTAAACACAATATTTTCTTTTCACCTTTTTTTTTTTTAATCCCATTTTCTGACTATAGGCTAGCTATCTGGTTGTTGCTTGCCTAAATCTTGCCAGCCTTCAAAACTGAAGTGTCACCTTCATTTTTTAGTATTTCTTGATTCCTCCTTTGTCCTCATATGTGACATTTTAACACTGTATTGTTATTGTGGCTTTTCTCCAGAATGTGCATTCTTAGAATGTTGAAACTGTCTTGCCTTTCTATAAATCTTCAGTGCCATCACGGAGCCTGGTACTCAATGTTTAGTGGTGGTGTAGAGCCTAAAGCATCTGACTGCTAACCAGAAGGCTGGCAGTTCAAACCCACCAGCCACTCCTTGGAAGGAAGACTGGGCAATCTACTTCCATAGAGAGACTGCCTCGGAAACCCAAGGAGGGGTCGCTATGAGTCGGACTCAACTCGACTCAACAGCAGTGCATTTTGTTTTTGGTTTTTATTCTATCATGAATAAATGATAATTGATCTTATGTTGAACAAGTAAAAATCTTCTAGGAGAAAATAAAGAGGCAATTCTTTCAGAGAGCTGAATTAACAGCAAGTACCTTACTTTTGTAGGACCCTAAAGTATGGTTTTCTTATAAGTGAGGATGGTGAGATTTCATCTCACATACTTTCAACATGTTATCTGAAGGGACCAGTCTCTGGAGAAGGATATTATATTTGATAAAGTCAGCAAAGAAGAGGCATACTCTTATGGAGACTGATCAACCCAGGGGCTGCAACAGTGGGCTCAGCCATAACAACGACTGTGAAGATGGCCCAGGGCCAGGCATTGTTTTGTTGTGTTGGACACAGAGTTGTTAGGAGTTGGAACTGACTCATCAGCATCTAACAACAACAAAGTATGGTTTGTGTTGCTGCTGAAGTTGAAGGTAGAGAGGGGAAGAATGCTTTATGTACTTTTCCAAGAAGTTTGGATTTTATGCTTATAGAGAACAGACAGCCACTGATGGACCTTATGCAAGTGAATGACCTAATCAGTGGAATGTCAGCTTGAATTTACAAGTTGGTTCCCATGGAGGATGGAAAGTGATTGGAAAGGGAAGAGGCTAAAGATATATAGTGCTAGTGCAGTAATTTCAGAGAGATAGTAAGGATTTGAATTAGGCACTAGCATTGGGGAAGGAGACAGGAAAAGAAAGATATAAAGCTGTCCTTAATATGACATATTTGTGTGAAAGGATAAATGAAACTGTGATACCATTCACCAGGAAAGGAGTAGAACATTTGGGGTCCATGAGGTAAATTTATTTAGTTTTATACTATCAAAGTGGATCAACAGGGGATGCAATTTCATAATTGCTACACTTCAGCTGTTCACTGATGTGTTTCTAAAGTTTGTTTTTTTTTCCACCATTTTTTCCTTCAGCCCCATCCTTCCGGTCCCAAGAACATCTTGTCTATGTCAGGGTATTGCTTTTTTATTTCTTTTTTTTTTTCAAAAAAAAAATTGTTTATGTCAAAAAATTTAAAACTAAATCCTTTAGGACTTGGTCTTTGGGAATGTTACAACTCAAGTGCTTGGGAACCCAAAGCTTTGGCTTTAAAACTCAAAAGCCTTGGTGTTTTAAATTTTAAAAAGTCTGGATTTTTGGCAAAATTTCCCTTCCATAAGTAATCAAGGGAAGAGAGTAGTGCTGGAAGAAAAAATAAATTATTTAATGTATTAAAATATTACTCCTTCTAATAACTTGTATTTTTACAAGTATTGTTACAATGCTTCTGGAACATATTTTTTCATATTTACTAAAGAAATATTACTTTTTGTTCTTGGACACCAAAGAAAAGACCTAAATAGGGGGAAAAATCAATTAAATTTTAATCAGTAAGCAATCACTTAGAATGTTGTATGGCTCTGACATTTTATACATTGAAATAAAAGTAATTTGTATTATATGATTTAGATGCCAGAAGCAAGTGAGAGTGTTTCAGGGAGGATAATGAAGAGATATGTGTGTGTGTGTGTGTGTGTGTGTTATTCACTACTTCTCAGGTATGGAGAAATTCAGGATTCACACCTAGTGAAAACTTATCGAAAGAATAAATTTCATTATTTATATACTTTTTAAAAAAGGGTAATTTTTTTGTCTTGATTATTAGAATAGTATACATAGGAAAATAAAACATGTCTCAAAACCAAATCAGTTGCCATGGAGTTGATTGAGACGCACAGCAACCTCACGTGTGTGAGAATAGAACTGCTGCTCCATTGGGTTTTCAGTGGCTAACTTCTCAGAATAGATCATCAGGCCTTTCTTCTGAGACACCTCTGGGAGGCCCTGTAAGCTATGGAGCACGTTAACAAGTTGCATCAATTAGGGACTCCGAAGTAAGTACCATAACCAAAACTAAACCCACTGCTGTGGAGTTGATTCTGACTCAAAACAACCCCTACTGGGTTTCTAAGTCTGTAAGTCTTTACAGAAGTAGATTGCCTCATCTTCCTCCAGCAGAGTAGCTGATTGATATGAACTGGTGACCCTCTTATAGCAACCAAATGCCTTACACACTGTGCCACCAGGGTTCCTAAAACAGTAAAAAAAACAAAAACACTACATTCTAAACATTATACATAGCAATATATACCACTTACATTGGCCCTTATTATGAATTTTTGGTGTTAATTATTTTCTTTGTTCTTCCATTCAGAGAATTTATCAACAGCCTTCGACTGTTCAGGACGTTTTATGGAGGCCTGGCAGATCAACTTTGTACGAATGAAATAGCTGCTGCTGATGGACTACCTTGCTGGAATGGAGAGGATATAGTAAAAAGGTATTTTATATTCAGCAGTCTGTGGAAATATAATGGCTACTTTCACTTTTGGTTATTTTCCTGAATCATTAATGAATTATTTCAGTTTTAACTTCATCACACAGATCAAGGTTGTATTTAATTCCTTTTCTTTAGTTTCTTTAAGAAAATCTGATATATATTTATATATTAAAAAATATAATAACATTCCGTGGTGTTTTGATGTGTCTTTTCTACCTATTACTTACTCAACAATCTTATTTTTTCAATTATACATTACTTAATCTTTTATCCAATCTCTGTCTTGTTTACCAAATGTTTTACCTTTTTTTTTTTTAGTTTAACTCCATGAGCATTTACAAAGTGAGGAAATTTAGTGAAATGAGAATACCTATGCAAAGATTCATTGATATATAGATACGTGTCTCAACAGTGTTAATATGTTCATTTTATAATAGTCCCTATGTGTGTTTTCTGTTTAATAAAAAAACTCACTGCCCTTGAGTCAGATCTGACCCATAGCAACCCCTCCCTGGGTTTCTAAGGCAGTATCTCTATGGAAGTAGATTCTCCAATCTTCCTTCCTAGGAGTAACTGATGGGTTTGAATGGCCAGCATTCTGGTTAGGTAGAACATATTTATAGGTATCTGTGTGAGGCATAGTGCCCAAGGCACTTGACTGCTAACCAGAAGACTGGCGGTTCAAACTCACCAGCCACTCCTCGGAAGGAAGGTAGGGCAATCTAATTCCGTAGTGATACTGCCTCGGAAATCCAAGGAGGGGTTGCTATGAGTAGGGTCCGACTCGACAGCATATAACAACAACATGTGAGGCATTTGTTGTCAGTTGTCAACTGTTCTCAAACTAAGGTCTGAAATTTAAATTTTACTTTTTTTTTCCCTTACTGACTAGAATGTCAGATTTTTGATAGTTTATTTTCTTTGCTTCCTGCAACTGATTATACTCTCAAGTAATCTCCTGAGTTCAAGAAAATCTTAAATTCTTCTTTATTACAGTGGTCATCAATAAAATTGGTTGGGGATTAATCCCTTTATTTGCCAATGCTGATGATTATTGTAGAATGAAGCTTAATGAGGATTTGTGTGTTTTGTTGTCTTTGAATTTGAGTCCGCTGTAAGTTTATTTTATTTAGAGAAGTCTGAGGGAAAAACAAAAAAAGTTAAGGTATTAACCTTTCTTACTTATCCACTTGCTTTTTGTGAAGAGAGACTTAGTTTCCAAAGGAATGATGAGGTCATTTACTATAGTATTTTAAAAATTCAAATTACTGTGATAGACATAAATTATAATTAATTAAAAATATGTTATATGTGCCCTCAAGTTGATTCCAACTCATAGTGACCTTATAGGATAGAGTAGAACTATCCTATCAAGTTTCTTAGGCTGTAATTTTTACAGGAAAAGATCTCCAGGTCCTTTCTCCTGTGCAGTTGCTGGTGGGTTTGAACTGCTAACCTTTGGTTAGCAGCCAAGTGCTTGAATAGTTGCCACCAGGGCTCCTAATTTAAAACATAAATGTATATAATAAAAACTTTTTACATATTTTTGGGTCATTCTGAGTCCTGGTGATACAATAGTTCAGTGATCAGCTGTCAACCTACAGGTTGGTGCTTTGATCCTACCAGTGGCTCCTGTAGGGGAAAAAGATCTGGTGAACTCTCTTAAAGATTACTGCCTAAGAAACCCTGTGGGGCAGTTTTACTGGTCCTGTAGAGTCACTAGGAATCAGAATCAACTCAATGGCACAGAAAAAAGAACAACATTAAGCATAGTTAAATATTATAGTCCTGAGCTATTAAATGATTATTTTGTAATTTATTCCTGAATATTTCATAGAGATTCTTGGCTTTCACAGAAAAAAAAAAAATATTGAGGAAAGAAAGTATACTTAAATTTAAATACAGTGTTTGTCCCACATGGCTAGTATTCTTTTTTCCTTTTTTTAATTTTGCTCCTGAGACCTTGAAATATAAATATGTTCTATATATATCTTTTTGACTTTACTGCAAACAGTGATAACATAAATAGTACTTTTAATTTTTATAGTATTTCATGCCAATAAGATTCTTCTAATATTAGATTTAGTTTTTAAATTCTACTTTGACTTGTAGTTGTTTCTCTTTTCATACTGAAATTGAACTACTTTGAGGACTAACATGTTTTCTATAAGGACTAGTGAAAATCTCATTTTGATTAATGAAAAATACAATATAATATATAAATATATTGAATACATTATAGCATTTGATTTTAGAGCTGCAAAGATCTTAGTTTCAAAATGTACCATTTCTCACTTGACTATTTGGGATCATTTGGAATAGGACATATTATTGGAAAAATTACTATCAGAGAAAACTTTTTTGAGAGGTGATATTTTCAACTTAAATAACATATTTTCTTCTATGTGTCTACTCCTCATTATTGATGATCTCATTATGCCACATTTCACATTTATGACAATAGTGAAAAGTCTAGTATCTGACTATACTGCACCTTCATGGTGTAAGTCTAGTGGTAACAAATGCCAAGGTGGGAGGTGAGAATAATGTCGGCAGTGATGGTTAAGGTTATGTGGCAACTAGCTGGGCCATGATTCTCAGTGGACTGGCAGTTATGCAATGATCCAATTTGGTAGGTAGGTAATGATTAGTTATCCTCCATTTTGTGACCTGATGGCATCATCTTTCATTTTCGCATAACTTTTTTTGCCTTGTTTTTGGAATCGAATCATGTTGATGAGTGAGGAGTGGGTGTATGTATAATGTTTTTTTTTTTTTTTTAATGACTCCATTCTTTATGAATAAAGAAAGCACATCCTTACCAAGAATTCTCTATGGAAAATGTCCATATTTCTGATAGACAAAGTGAGAGAGTTTTAGCATTTGCTTCCAGCTTTGGCCTCTTCCTTCCTATACCTTCGATTTCTCCTATTAATTAAGCCAAAAACCAAATCAATTGCTGATGAATTGCCTCTGACTCACACACGTGTGTGTCAGGGTAGAATCACACTGTATAGAGTTTTCAATGAATGATTTTTTTGGAAACAGATCACCAGGCTTTTCTTTTGAGGAGCTGCTGGGTGGATTTGAGCAGGCTGTGTTGGTTAGCAGGTGAGTGCTTTAATCTTTGCACTACCCAGGGACTCTTCCATCTATTAGCCACTTCCCAATGCCCAATGCCTTCTACTCTCCTGTGAATAAGCTTCACTTGGTCTT